GAATCCCAAACTGGAATTAAGATTGCCGGAAGAAATATCAACAACCTCCGATATGCAGGTGATACCACTCTGACAGCAGAAAGTGAGTAGGAACTAAAGAACCTTGTAATGAGGGTGAAAGAGGAGAGTGCAAAAAAATGGTCTGAAACTCAACATTAAAAAAACTAAGGCCATGGCCACTGGTCCCATCACCTCCTGGCAAATAGAAGGGGAAGATAGAAGTGAGAGCTGGACCATAAAGAAAACTGACCGCTGAAGAACTGATGCCCTTGAATTGTGGTGCTGGAGAAGGCTCTTGCGAGTCCCCTGGACTGTAAGGAGAACAAACCTATCCATTCTGAAGGAAATCAACCCTGAGTGCTCACTGGAAGGACAGATCCTGAAGATGAGGCTCCAGTACTTTGGCCATCTCATGAAAAGAGAAGACTCCTTGGAAAAGACCTTGATGTTGAGAAAGTGTGAAGGCAAGAGGGGAAGGGGACGACAGAGGATGAGATGGTTGGACAGTGTCATCGAAGCCACCAACATGAATTTGACACAACTCCGGGAGGCAGTGGAAGATAGGAGGGCCTGGCGTGCTCTGGTCCATGGGGTCACGAAGAGTCGGAAATGACTAAACAGCTAAACGACGAATAGGTTACCCTGCCAGAAAATTTCATCTGGTCCTGAATTATTAATAGAACCTCAAATGGCTTGGGAAGAGGATACCAACTCCTCACGTCAGTCTTGCTTGTCCAGTGTGGTCAGCTGGGACTTGTGTCGCTGGTGCCAAACTAAATTTCACTTTTGGCTGCCTTAAAGGAAGAGGCCTTTTCTCTTTCTGAGAAATTAGCATTTCAATACAAACTGACCTAATTTGCACCTCCTGAACTAATACATGAGCTGGAGTGCAATTATCTTTCAGGTTTTGCACTTTCCAAAATTTTACAGCCTGATATAAAAAAGAGGTGTTCATGAGTAAAAACCATGTAGAAAATGCAAACATTTGAGGAAATTACATGCAATGATACAGTTATTTGGAGAATGTGTTTGCAGTTAATAGAATTGCTTATACTATTGGGGGTTGCATACAGAAATTTTTGTTAGAACAAATACATAGGAAAATGTTGCATATTTGCTTCAAACATGTTACAAACAGTTGTAGAAATTGAATGGAACTTGAACTTGCACTATGAAAAGTGCAGAAGTTGTAGAAACAGACAAATTTCCCTCAGTAGTGGTTTACTGTCAGTCTGCAGACAACACTTACAACTGAATCAGGTAAATTCATGTAATTTGCAGAACAAAAAGATCAGTCATACAATATACAGGCAAGCACCCTGCTGGGTATAAGAAGGGCAGCGCTAGAGATTGGGAGTTTGATTCCTCAGTGGTCCTCCTTGGCAGGGGCTGGACTTGATTATCCATAGGGTCTCTTCCAGCACAGCAGTTCTAAGATGATGATGAAGATGATTCAATATTAAAGATAATTCAGCCACCTGAAAGTGCCATAAGCAGTAATACTAAAACAGGGTACCTTTTCTTTCCAGTTGTGGTTACATTCACAACCTGTGCTCAGATGAGTAGCGCAATGTTAATATTACCATACTGTACAAAATAATTCATGGTGTCGTCATTGTGTTTATAATAAAGATGCTACATTTTAAGAAACTAATAATTAAGGCTGTCTGATTAGTGGCATATGGAGATGGTTTTTTGTAACGGACACCAAGGCTAGAAGCATGAGACAGTACTCCAGTAATGTTCCGTATTTATATATGACCAAAAAAAAAAAAAGATAGAGCATTAAATGAGAACTTGTGTTTAGGAAATGTGGTAAACTAGAAGACTGGCAGGCTTCCATCATGAGACGGTGTTCTCCACATGACCCCACCCACTGATGTGTTACAGACCTTTCTTTAAGACATGGAACAGATGAGACATCCTAACTTGCCATTTATTTCAGCTTCTACAAAAGGAGTTTGGGGGAAGGATTTAAAACACAGAATGGGCCTGGGGGGAGAACAACATTCATTTTAACATAGCTTTATGGGAGGTTCACACAGCTCTCACTTTAGCTATTCATCCAAGTCAATTAAAAAAGCCCGGGTACAAAACTTACATCTAGTCCCATTCTTTGCTGAGAATTATATACACATGGTAAAAATGCTCATAGCAAACTCTTTATAGTAATTTTGTGTACAGCTCTGTAGTATGTTGGAGTTTGGTGAAATATGACAGAGATACTAGAATGTCTCTGGCACATAAGGAACTCTAGGTTCAGTGTACTTTATCATGTTAGACAGACTGCTGAAGATTATAGGCCAGGCCACCCCTTACTTGCCATAATTTGGCATCTAGACTGATTATGGACATTTTTGAATGTTTACATTTTGTTTCAGAAGTCTTCATTTCTGATCTTATTGGAAAAACTTGATGAGAAACAGCCCTGACAATTGCTTTGTGTTTGGAAGAGAAGTGGTTAACTGATGGAAAAAGGAGTCAGTTTATGGGACTTTCCCTCACTTGGTGTCAATCTGTGAATGGTAGTGAGCACAAGAGGGTACCTTGACTGCTGCCATTAGCATTGTCAACACTGATGCTGCCCTTTGGTATGTGAAGCTGGGCATCCCATTCTTGTTGGCAATCTAGGTACAATCCTGCACAGCAATATCAAGCCATTTCTTGGCATTTGGAATTGTGGGCACAGAAGCGCAATATCCCACGTTTATAAACCAGAGGTGTTTTTTGTTTTGTTTTGTTTTTTTAAGAATTGAATGTAAGTACAAAGGTGTCCAGAATATCCTAAGATGCATTCTTAAAGGTTGTTTTTCTATCGTTTAATCTAATACTCTTCCTTTCTCCTGAGTGCTGTTGAAGATGCACTGCCTGACCTCCGCTAACCATCATGTGTCAGCAATCATTCATATTGTAACTCACAAATGTTTGGGGTTAATTAAAATGTTAATGCTTTCATAGTAGATAGTATTTTAATTTTTTTAAAAGACCAAAAGCCCTATGGCACGTCCCTCCAAATTTGATGCTGAAAACATGACACTTTCTAAAAGAGTTTGCATGACATTGAAAATGCTGCTAACTTGGAGAGCACAAGTGGACAATTGCCGGCTTTGTTGACCAGGGGTAATGAGAGTTGCCAGCTGACAACATCTTGAGAGCCGCAGGTTGTCCACTTCTCACCTGGAGAAAAACGTGAAAGGAAATAGCACCCAGGAGGACTCAAATGAGTTCTTTCGGAAATCCAGGCCAAGGCTGTCACTCTTGAAGAAATGTGGTTGCCCTCGTCGTTTGCAGATTTTACAGGCACAGAATGCTTCCATATTTCATAGATCTCCAAAACATAGATGCCACATCCTCTGGCAAAACTCTTGTGGTTTTGTGAACTCTTTCATCTGTTTTGAGAGTATGGGAAGTTCCCACCTAACCTCTAATGTACAACTCATTTGTGAACCTTGAATGGTAGCACAGTTTCTACATGTGGAATTCTCTGGGGGAACTGGCATTCTTTATGGGAATGCTGACATGAGAGTTAGGATGTCAGGGTCCGATTCAGACTGGAGAAAAGTTCTCTGTCTCAAAGCTACCAAGATAAGGTATGCCATGTTTTATCACAATTTTCCTGATTTCCATGGCAAATAGTGTAGTTGGGTTGGTGGAGATAATCATCCTGGTTGGCTTTTTCTCTGACTCTATCTCATTTAATTTCTGTAAAGTGCTTATGTATGTCCATAGGGGCGTATATTACCTCTGCCTATCTCTCTATTGGCAATCAGACCAACTCTGTCACATTTTGGTTGGTGAAAGAACAGTATTTGGATAAGCAAACCATGGGAAACACAACTGCAGTCAAGGATGAATTTGTTAGGTGCTTTTTGATTCCTGTCGTGTTGATTCTACCCCTGTAAGAAAAGAGCGTCTCCTGACTTACAGTGTAGAGGACGGTGTGGAAGTACTGGCCTTGCAACACAACAGCATTGCCTACAGCACTGTATGGGTGTATATGTGCTTGTGCAACTAACCTTCAGTGTTCCTTTTTTTATTATTACATTATTTGTTTGAATATTTGTTCCTTATCTCTATGAACTAAAAACTACCCAGATATTGAATGTGACGTTTTATCTTGGAAAGTCAAGACATGAGCTTTTTGTGACTGCCCACTAGCATGGGGAAGAAGGGCATAAATCCCAATGCAAATAATGGAACTGTTTTTGCAAACAGTAATCCACTATCTCATAAAAATAAGGAGGAGCTACGTTTCAGCTCTGCAACAAAGAATACCAAGAAAACATCCCCAGGCCTATGAAGAGGAGATAATATGTGCTGTACTCTGTCTTGGATCCAATAATATCTTCTTAGAATGTATTCTTCATGTTGCCAAAGATTCATTTTTAACTCACTTCTGCTTCATTTCTCTGATACTGAAATGAGGGATTGTGTTATAACTGAAGCACAACTGCAAAATGAAAGTGCTGCCATGTATCGTATCCAATTTTCTTTTGTTCGTTCTTTCATTCTTTCCTAATTTGTTTTGTTTGTCAACAGGATAGCAGCCAAGGAGAACATGAATCTTATGACACCTCAGAGTTTAGGAATCGTTTTTGGACCAACGCTCCTTCGGCCTGAAAAAGAGACAGGATCAATGGCAGTCTACATGATGTACCAAAACCAGCTGGTTGAGCTAATGCTCAGTGAATACTCCAAGATCTTCAGCTCTGAGAAAGACTGACAGACCAGGAATGTTATTGAAAACGTTCACATCTGTCTTCATATCTAATATTTTTACATTTCTGTAAACATCTTTCTAAAATATTTCTGTTTCCTTCTAGTGACAGATGCCTCATTTTGTGAAAACTTAATGACAATTTTGTCTTTAAATTTCCAAACATTGGAAGAAAACGATATTGTCAACATTTGCTTATATGTTCTCAACATTAACCCTTTCCATATGTCAGAGTCTCTGCCAACACACTCTTCAGGGCATTGTCGTTTTGCATGCTTTTATTCTACAGCTGGGATTTGACAATATGGCCAAATCCAGATGAAATATTGCTTAGAGGCATATGCAGTGGTGCTCCCAGACAAGCAGGGTTGGAGGTTAATGGATTTAAATGGGCTTTTTGAACAATTAAATTGGTACTGATAATAGTCTATCACTTAAAATGATTTTTAATGTATATACCTGCTCTTGTGTGGAGAAAAATTAAAGGAAAAAAAAGTTGAACAGCAATGCCTCCTAGAGAAAAAGTCAAAGTGTCAGATGTTGCCGTTGGTTTTTGCACAACAAAACATGAATTGAAGTGTTATAATGATTCTGTTTTGAAACTTAAGGATGAAATTAACTCCTGAACCACTTTTTAAAAATGTTGCAGCAGCAATTCATCAGTTGCCCAATTGTTCATCTTAAATGCAAGATCCATTTTGAATCTTCATTACTGTATGAAAGTTTGCTGTTTCCCCAGCTATACCATATTTGGTAGATTTTTTTATTATTATTATGCTTCCGAAGATGCTTTATTGGTGAACTGCATTAAATTCATCTAGAAAGAACTTTTTCTAAAAAGCTTTTTCATATGCCCTTAGGATTACTTGGCTAGACTTGAATCAATTTATACATTTGATGGTTAGTTTCAGTTGTCATGGATAAACAAAAGGGTAACTGTCTAGAATATATCAAATATTGTTTTATTCTGAAATGTATGTTTCCAGCTATACATATCCCCTACCCCATTTTCTAAAAGTATTCCGCTGATAAAATGTAGACTTATGTTTGACAGCTTTTTAATCAAGTTCAAAGAGAATAAATAAAACTAATCCAGTGTGGTAAAAGAGACTGCCTGGTTATCGATTTGTTCATAAAACGAAAAATAAACCGTGTAAATAAAATGTGTGAAAATGCAGATCTAGAAGCAAATATTTTGAGCAATTAAAAAAACCCCTCCAAATACAGGATTAATGCGTAAATCTGCTGTATATGAGAGATATGTCTCAAGTATCAAATCTAATAGGAATTACAATGTCATTGTTCAACACCATTTTACAGCCTGCTACATTGTTAAGCAGTTGAAATTGTGCTTTAGAACAAGCATCAAGGAAAATAAATGTACAAGGATGCTGCTGCTTCATTAAACAAGTACAGGCTTGAGAATTAATGGGGAACATATGCAGAATCCACAAGTGCAAAAGGAACTTTGCTGTTATGGCACCAATCACAACGGTTCTAGCAAACAGTGAGTGGGAGAGGGTTTTTCTACAACTCTAGAACTATGAGATTTACACATTTTAGGATGAATCTATCCCATCTCCAGAGCTATTGAGACAGCTGTCTCTCCCTCTCTTCATAAGAAAAACCATGCTAGACCAGACCAAGATCTAGGCCAACCTTCTGTCCACACAGTGGCCAAACAGCTGCCTATGGAAAGCCTAGGAGGAGGACATAGGTCCAAATGCACGCTCCATTTTGTTTATCGGGCAACTGACATACCGAGGCATAGCACACAGAATATGCTGAAGAGGTGAATGTGATTCTTCTTGTCCCTTAACAAAAAGGATTTCATTCATCACAATGAAAAGGAACTCAATACTGTTACTGATACATGTGTCTCATTTGCCATTCAGTCACTGTACGCAAAAATGACATTTCCATATGTGAAAAATGATTGAAGTTCCTTCACTGTACATGAGTAATCACTTCCTATGTTTCATATGTGTCCATGTTTCTCATGCCACACTTTTATATCAGAAATCTCAGCTGTGTGGATTATGCTGCATTCGTCTATCACTGTGAAATTCTGATGCATACAGAAGGTTTGCAGAGGAGTTGTGTGCAAGGCTTATTTTGGGCACATGCCATGCCATGGGTCAGTCTTTTAAAAGGGCTTGAACCCAGCCTTTGCAGGGAGGGAGGTACTTGACTCCCAGAACCAACCCAATGGCTATGAAGCACATAATAACAGTGGAGATGGGTGGGCATTGTCCTCTGCAGAGAGAGAGAGCCTCTTCACATTTGCTGGAGCAATTAAAGGAAGGAGAGAAGGAATTTGTCAGTTTTCCGCATGCTTTTTGCAGCCTTTTCACAGTTGTTGCACATCTAACTACATCTGTTTCCCCCCCTCAGAGTAAGCTATTTATTTTCATGTTCATTTCATTTCATTCTAGCTCTTTTTATGCTTCTGTACAATCAGCTTCTCTGAATACCTTACACCAGGAATAAAATCATACTAGGAGAGAGTCATCCTTCCATGAGTGAACAAGAGATTCCGTACCAAAGGCTCCAAACATCCCACCAATGAAAATCCAGCAGGACAGAGGTGGCATTTCTGTTATTTCTGGTCTCCCTGGGTTGCCCCCATGTCACTGAATACATCCCATTGATCTCTGCTGGCCCCAGAGCTGGCACAGAACTGCAGTCAATGTGGAGGACATGCCTAGATATCAGACAGGCTGTGCCTTCTTTGCATCCAAGGGTTTTCCCAGAATGCCTTGTATCACATTCATGACAACATGACTCCTTTTTCCTCCCCTCTGATGTCAGAGGTCTATATAGAAGGATTATATTCATATGTTTTTCTGAGGGCTGGGAAGGGCTTCTCGGGTGAGGCAATTTCTGAGGGAAGACTTCTCTCTAAAGGTGGTCATTCTATCCATGTAAGTCAATGTTTCCCAACTTTGGGTCCCCAGTTGTACTTAGACTACAACTCCCAAAAATTCTGGCCAGCAGGAAGACATTAAGGCTTTGGCGAAATTTAATCCAAGAACAGGGTGGGGGTGGGGTTCTGGTATATTCTATGGCTCCAGTATCATAGCTCTGTACTTTAAAAAATATATAGCATTACAGCGGTATGTGGATAGCAAGAGAAAATATCTTCTATATTCTCCCAGGAGTATTTTCTCCAAACAAATATTGAAACAGAAAGAATGGAATACAAGGTAATTTCAGGCTACCTATCCATACAAGTTGAACTACTATGCTCATGTTAGAAATTAAGTCAGGCAGGATTCTGCCATTCCTAAAATTAACCTGAACTCAGCATGAGTAAGTTTTGTAAGCATGATGCTCCTCTGTTATTTGAGAACATGCACCAGAACTGAAAAGATGGTTCAGAAGATGCTGTCCCATTTAGAATGGAGATGTGGGGGGTGGGAGAATATTTATTTATTGTTCTGTTAGCTGAAGCGTTTTTATCAAATTGGACAGCCAAAAACATTCCCAGAGCAATCCCCATCCTCAGAAAGACCCATGCATAATTGATCACCTTCAGAGGGTTTCTACTCAAATGGAGACCCTGTGTGTGAGCAGGAATTCCTGCTCTGAAGATGCACTTCCTCATGGATTAAGTGATATTGGAGAGGGGAGGGGCTAGAGCTTCTCCCTAAAGGTGGTCATTCTATCCATGTAAGTCAATGTTTCCCACCTTTGGGTCCCCAGATGTACTTAGACTACAACTCCCAGAAATCCTGGCCAGGAGGAAGACATTAAGGCTTTGGGGAGATTTAATCCAAGAACATTTGAGGACCCAAGGTTGGGAACCATTTATGTAATGCTTGAGAGGTCAGAAATGGAGGTTGTGAAGCTAGATGCTGTGTCACCAGCTCCTTTCTCATGACTATAGACTGTAATTCTTAAGTAAGGCTTCTGGTGCACTCATTTCACACGCTAGCAAGGTTATGCTCAAAATCCTACAAGATAGGCTTCAGCAGCATGTGGACGGAGAACTCCCAGAAGTACAAGCTGGATTTCGAAGGGGCAGAGGAAAACTAGAGACCAAATTGCTAGCATGCGCTGGATTATGGAGAAAGCCGGGACAGGAAGCAACAGTTAGAACTGGATATGGAACAAATGATTGGTTTAAAATTGGGAAAGGAGTATGACAAAGCTGTATATTGTCTCCTTGCTTCTATAACTTATATGCAGAATACATCATGTGAAAGCCTGTACTGGATGAATCCCAAACCATAATTAAGATTGCCAGAAGAAATATCAACAACTTCAGATATGCAGATGATGCCACTCTGATGGCAGAAAGTGAGGAGGAGTTAAAGAACCTTTTAATGAGGGTGAAAGAGGAGAGTGCAAAAATGGTCTGAAGCTCAACATCAAAAAACTAAGATCATGGCCACTGGTCCCATCACCTCCTGGCAAATAGAAGGGGAAAATATGGAGGCAGTGACAGATTTTACTTTCTTGGGCTCCATGGTCACTGCAGATTGTGACAGCAGCCACAAATGTAAAAGACACCTGCTTCTTGGGAGGAAAGCGATGACAAACCTAGACAGCATCTTAAAAAGAAGAGACATCACCTTGCCAACAAAGTCCGCATAGTTAAAGCTATGGTTTTTCCTGTAGTGATGTATGGAAGTGAGAGCTGGACCATAAAGAAGGCTGACTGCCGAAGAATTGATGCTTTTGAATTGTGGTGCTGGAGGAGGCTCTTGAGAATCCCCTGGACTGCAAGGAGAACAAACCTATCCATTCTAAAGTAAATCAACTCTGAGTGCTCACTGGAAGGACAGATCCTGAAGATGATGCTCCAGTACTTTGGCCATCTCATGAGAAGAGAAGACTCCTTGGAAAAGACCTTGATGTTGGGAAAGTGTGAAGGCAAGAGGAGAAGGGGATGACAGAGGATGAGATGGTTGGACAGTGTCATCGAAGCAACCAACATGAATTTGACACAACTCTGGGAGGCAGTGGAAGACAGGAGGGCCTGGCATGCTCTGGTCCATGGGGTCACGAAGAGTCAGACACGAATTAACAACTAAACAACAACAACAGTGGTTCACATTTCACTTATACATATTTTTAAAGGTTCATGCACATATTTAGGGAGGTGTAGTTTCTCCAGCTGAAGCAGGGGAAATGGCATTGATAGATGTCCAGTGAGAAGAAAGAGGGAATCGAAATGAATATTCAGCACCAAGGCCTTTCAGAGGCTTTAAGTGGGTCTTTCTGTTGGTTATATGGATTGGCTTACAGGGTTCACATTTCACTTATACATATTTTTAAAGGTTCATGCACATATTTAGGGAGGTGTAGTTTCTCCAGCTGAAGCAGGGGAAATGGCATTGATAGATGTCCAGTGAGAAGAAAGAGGGAATCGAAATGAATATTCAGCACCAAGGCCTTTCAGAGGCTTTAAGTGGGTCTTTCTGTTGGTTATATGGATTGGCTTACAGAGCACAGGCAGACAAGCAGTTGTTAGTGCAGATAAATGTAATTTTTAAAAAAAATCTAATTCTGTGATGCACTCTGGAAGTTAAGGGAGCAGGGAGGACTGCTAGCTTTTCCTTTGTAGACTTAATTCACTCCCTGTCGCAAAAGTGTCCACTATATCAGTGCTGCAGCTGATAGACCTTCCTCCTAACCTGACCTCAGGAGAAATCAAACTGTGCTTTACAGAATCATAGAACTCTCAAGCCAGAAGGGACCCCAAGGACCACTGAGCCCAACCCTCTACTCAATGAGGAAATCCACAGCTGTCTAAGCAACATTTTCATCTATTTTCAGTTGACTAAACAGACTTAATGATACCCAATGGGGTATAGTGGATAGAGTGTCAGATTAAGCCACATTGATTCCAGACTCAGCCATGAAGACCCACTGGAAATGTGGATCTGGCATAACCTTTCCTTCAATACCTCACTTATCTTGAAATCCTTATTAAGGTTGCTGTAAGTTGGTTCTGACTTGATGGCATACAACAACAACAACAACAACAACAACAACAACAACAGACAGACAGACAGACAGACAGACAAACAGACCACAGCACCCAGACTCAATTTAATTTCATGTATTCACCACATACATTGGGTAGGATCTACTTAACATGCATCATTTGAACCAATAAGTGAACCAAAAATCCTTTCTTTTTCATGTCCCCAAATTTTGCAGTGCAGTTCACCAATTTAAAGAATATGCATATACAGTAATTTAATTTAATTTAATTTATATGCCGCCCACACTACCCAAAGGTCTCTGGGCGGCTTACAACATTTAAAATACAATAAAAATTTGTAACAATTAAAATACAATTAAAATATATATAAAATTGCTATCGGACCCACAGCTAATATTTCAATTAAAAGCCTTCTGGAACAGGAAGGTTTTGACCTGGCGCCGAAATGTCATCAGTGTCGGCGCCAGACGAATCTCATTCGGGAGGGCATTCCATAGTCTGAGGGCAGCTGCCAAAAAGACCCTTTGACTACAAGCCATCCCTCTTACCTCCTTAAAGGATGGCTCTTTCAAAAGGGCCCCCTGGCTAGATCTTAACTGCCAGGTAGGTTCATATGGAAGGAGGCATCCAGGTATCCAGGGCCCAAGCCGTTTAGGGC